TCTACGCCCTTGCGACCCTATTTAATGCGGTTGTAGTTCTGTTGGTCTCTGGTCCGCAAAGTGGGCAACACGACTTATTCAGCATCACAGTGTTGCCTCTCATTGCACGATCATCGGCTAGAGGACCATGTTGTGAGATTGTCATGTGCCATCTTTGTACCGTAGAACACTACATTCGTTTAGATTTGACTCATGACTGTCCATTGCCGCCTATTCATTCCATGTGGTTCCGTTACCGAGATCGATCGGTTGTGGGTTGGGAGGATCAGTACGAGGCTAGGTTGCGATTGTGGTTTACTGTTAAAAAAAAACCTTGTTGAATAAAAGAACGATATTATTCACTTATGGTATGACGCTTCTCATTCAACTTAAGTTTAGCAAATAAAAAACAAAATGAATCAGTTCAACTCTATTTTAGCAAAAACAAAAACAAAAAACCATTCAACTTAATGTTTTACAAATAATAAATAAAAAAAAGTCATTCAACATAATGTTTTACAATAATAATTAAAAAAAAAAACATTCATTACATCATTATTGGGCATTGTCGTAATCCAACTTAAACTTAGCCAGTTCTTCTTGGACTTCCGCCGCCATCGGACATTCGCATCCCTGCTGCCAAATCGATGTAATGCCCAAAAGACGGTTCACCCACTAAACAAATGAAAAAGATAAGACTAAAATTTATTAAACAAAAAATATTGTAATGAAATAACATTAATTAAAATTTAGTAACCCACTTACATAGGCGGTACTAACACGCGTAGGGACCTCGTTCTCGTCCGGCAGCTCCTCGCCCATGAGAGTCGGATGGGAAACCCGACTGTACCACTGCAGGTAATCCTCAGTCGCCTCCCCGCGATCCTGTGTGGTGGGGGTCAACATACCGGTGTTGACCGTCCCAGTAATCGGGAACTGGGTCCAGGCACCTACTGCAGCAGCCTCAGAATGCTCAACCCTGTAGTTCCTAGACTCCCGGGCACGTACTGCACTGATTGGCTTGTATGTAGGGGGAGGGACAGTCTGGACATACCCCAACTGACACAGACACCGCGCAGGCAAGTACGGCTCGACGACATCACAGTATCGAATCAATCCGCTATAAAGAGTCCTCGGCTCTATCGCATCTGGGCTGGAGTTGCCGTATGGAAACCATTGCACCTGTTCACAATTGCATAAAAGCATTTATAAAAATAATTATATTATTTTAAATAACGGGTAACTAAATTTAAATAAAATAACTTCACGTACATCGGAGGCAGTGAGTCTGTCGAGGCGTCGACGGATGGCTGTGAGCCGATCGTCTGACCGTGGCGCATTCCCTACGCTCCACGAGCGTGATCGTGCGAGACAGTCAGGACCGATGGGTAGACGCCCCCGGGGTTGGAAATCGGGGAAATACTCATATATCCAAGACTGTAGAAGAGTCAAGCAGCCCGACATCTGGGCAGAGTCCCCTCGGCTGGCAATACCTAGCTGTCCGTACATGTATGCCAGCGTAGCGGATCCCCATGAGTAACCCCCAATCAAATCCAAGCCGTCGAGCACCTCGTGCAGGAGTTTGGGGGTCACTCCACTACCACTCTTGTCGACGAACAATGTGGTAGCCAGCATCACCCACATCCAGGCACCTGCCTCATCCCTAGCCGGCCGGCCTTTCCCCTTGATTGCCCCCGAAACGGCGGCTTCGGACAACGAACCACGTTGCAAGAACGAACTCATGAGTTCGCCCTTAGTGACCGAAAGTATCGACATGCAGATTCCATGGCAGGCGTCCGAATCCGGGTCCTCAGCGACCACGGCTCCCTCCACAGAACGCCCAAAATGGCCCGGAAGTCGTGCATAATGATGCTCATTTCACCAAAAGACAGGTGAAACGAGTTAGTATCCGGTTGCCATCGCTCCACAAACGCAGAAAGGAGTGGGGTGTCCAAGTGGATGTGCATGGAGTCGGCCAAATGTGACAGCCCGATCTGGTCGAGAAGAGCTCTCGCATCAGAAGACATCTCTTCACGCCAAGCCTTCAGATTCTCGATCGCTCTCAGTCTGTTGTGGCATTTCAGCGGCCCCCTCAAATCTCCACTCCACATGCGGGAGGCGACGTGCCCTAGAAAGCTAGGGATGACACTCCCATCAATGGGCCCACCGGGCACTGGGACTTTAAAGGTCTAGGGTGCATCATCATCGGTCCTAGCTCGTTTGCTAGTACCTGCATTAAAATACCGTAGTTGAGGAGCAGGCCGATAATACTTTTCTAACAGTACCGATAAGGATGCAGATGGGCCAAAAACGCCCCCAGCCTGTCGTTGAGGAGCAGCCTGTGTAGGTCGAACAAGCTGTACAGGAGGACGTGGGTGGCTAGGACCCATAGGCCGTGCGTGGTCCTGATCATCTGAGGAGTCGTCCGAGTCATACTCCTCTGAACCCTGCTCCCTTTCGCTGTATGACTCATCAGCATACCCCTGCTGACCATAGGGTAATGGTACGCGTGCGCGAGGAGGTATTGACTTCCCTGCGTAGCGGGGAAAAGCATATCGCGACTGATCGTACGGTCCTGGTGCCGGGGGCATCGAACTGCCTGCCTGGCCAGGATAATAAAATCCATGCTCACCGTACGGGAGGACTCCATGGAGTCGCGAACTATCTGGCTGGCCCTCAAAATGATATCCCTCCGGACCATCTCGCACTGGTGCGAGGGGTCTCGAACTCTGCCTAGCCTGATGAATCTGTACCCTCCGAGCCTCATCGATCATTGCCTGCCTTTCCATGTCCCTCTCCCGACGAACGGACACATTGACACCTCGACTTCTAGTGTGTCGGGTGCCAGAACCATCATAATAGTCATCGAACGCCTCGTCGTCGTCCCTGGCATTAGATTGTCCAGGTCTGCCAACACCCTGAATCAGAAATATAATTATTAAATTTTTTCATATGTAATGACTATTCTATTAACTATTACAATAGATTATAATTCATTTTTATTTTAATATATAAATTTTATTCATTATTATTATAATTATAATTGTTCATATTTATAATAGTTATTATAATTTTTTATTTAGATTATTATAATTAATACTAATTTATAATTATTATTATATTTAATTATAATTATAATTACAAATTATTATTATTTCTTATAATAATATTATTATAAGCATTTATAATTTATAATTATTAATATTATTAATATTATTTTTAGAATTTATAATTAATTATAATTTATTCAACTTATTATTATTATAATATTTAATAAATTATTATAATATATAATTATTATTATAATAATTATTATTATTAATAATAATTATTATAATACATAATTATTATTATAATTTATAATTGTTACCGACGACCGGACGGCCGCCGTCCGTCCGGAAACGACGTCTGGACGGCCGGACAGTTTCAAAAAAAAAAATTTTAAAAATTTTCTGGCGTAAAAAAAAAAAAGAAATTACCTTGCTAGAGAAGAATGCTTTGCCGAGGCCGTAGGATTTTTTCGACATTTTTTCGGATTTTTTTCGGTGCTCGAATCGCTTGTTGAAAGTTCGGGAATTTAGAGAGATAGAAAGTTTAGAGAAATCTATACTTATATAATAAGGTGTACCATTTATGAAATTTAGTAAGTTGAAAAGTCAATGCAATAAATGCATTACTATTTTGAGCAACATAATATTATATCATATCTATACTTATATAAAAGGAGATTCTATTTACTACATTTACTATCCAAAAAAGTCAACTGCATTAAATGCCATTACTATTTTGGTATTATAATATTTTATTTATTTAATTGATTGATTTATTTATTTTATTTTAAAAAGGTAAGTATAATAAAAAGATTTTAATAATAAAAAAATCAAATATCAAATAAAAATGTACACTTGGACTTATTTGATTATATTTGGTAGTTGATTATACCAAATATATTCCTATTTAGTATATACATTAAATACTTACTAAAGTATTTATTTGTTTTATTTGTCAAAGTTAAGTATAGATTTGTTTATATTATCATATCATAAAAAAATATTAAATCCATATTGTAAAAAAAAAATCATATAATTTTATAACAATTCTGCTACACTATTTAACAATATACTTTTTTTATTATATAATAAAATAATAATTAAATATTATATGGTGAACAACAATAAGTAAAACTGTTACTTTCTCTTATATCAAGGGATAAATTTATATGCTAAAATTAAATTTTTATTAGTATAAATGTTTTAGTGAGATAATATTAATTATTTTACAAGCGAGCCCTAAAATGCTCATATTTAATGTTTTAAAAGATGTAGAAAAAAACTTATAATAACTCTATTGTTTTTTAGACTTAAACGTTCATTAAAAGAGGTAAAAATTCCTAATTTTTTAGACTTAAACGTTGATTAACACCATAGATTGAGAGTCTATATTTAGTAAAATTCTTAATTGTAATAAAAATAATAATTTTTGCTATATCTTAGAATATCTTTAAATTCATTGTAAAAAAAAAGAAAAAAAAAACTACAATGAAAAAAGCAAGTCGGCTATATATCGATTTGTTGTACTCCTCAAATCACATTCACAATCTGGCTACAAGGAAAGGAAACTCATTGATTAAAATATTATTTTGTCAGTAGTCTTAATGTAGAAGAGACTTTAAGACTCCACTTGAATATTATAAAACTTTTATTGAACATTGTACAATTTTCTTGCGTATTATAAACTTTTATTGAATATTGCATCTTATAATATAATATTCTTCAAATAAATATATCACGTGTTTCGCACGGGTCACGTACTATATATATCCCGTACATTTTTCTTTATTGATGTATATAATTATAAGCCTGAATAAATAGCATTAAAATTGTGCACCCCGTGCATCGCACGGGCTCTGTACTAGTAAGGGTTAAGGGCAAAATAATAAATGAAAGGCGGTGACTAGTAAAAAAGACGGTAAATAGCAATTGAGATAAAAAATTCTAGTCACTAAGAAAAATTCTAACCCCCTTTTATTGTTGCTAGAAAAATTTTCGGGAATTGTATTGATTAATACGAGTCAATATAGCGTTGCTGCGCTATTATACATTCAGCCACTCGCAGCCTGAGCCTGCTGGCCCCAGACCTCAGAAAAAAATGGCAAAAGAACCGACACTCTCTTTGCTAATTACCCTCTCTACTGCACTCTTCTTCTTCCTCCCAGCGCAGGCAGCACTTTCTTCTAACTTCCTTCGAAAAGTCCCCCGCTTTCTCGGGAAATCCTCGCGCTCCCACTATGCCGGAGCTCCCACTTACCAGTACGAAACCCGTTACTTCGACCAGGATCTCGATCACTTCGGATTCTCGGACCTCCCCAAGTTCCGGCAACGCTACCTCATCAACACCGAACATTGGGCTGGGCCCTCTGCGATGGGCCCGATATTTCTCTACTGCGGCAACGAAGGGGATATTGAATGGTTCGCTGCCAACACCGGCTTCCTGTGGGAGCTCGCTCCCCGTTTCCATGCCATGGTCATCTTCCCTGAGGTACTTCTTTTATTTATCATCGGATTTTAATCACGGTGGACGAAAATTTCGAGTTGCAGAAGGAAGAGATGTAGACCAAACAACAAACTATATAAGTTCTTTAGGTAATCGGGCGGCGCATAAACTTCAATTTTATACTAAACCTCTCAATTTGGATTTGGGTCACTTGGTCATTGTAAACTGTACAGCTTGGCGGGGGAAAAAGAAAAGTCTATAATGGACATTTGGTAGTTGAGAACTCATTCTACTATTGCTACCACTGTTACTGCCTACCAAAGAAAAATTCCAATTAAGCATAACATGTTAACTGAGCTAACTGTCTAGACGAGTGTTGGTAGTTTTTTTCTTTTTTCTTTTTTTTTTTCCAATTTATAACGAGTCAAAATATCATTAACGATCCCTGTGGGTATGATTCTAATCTCTAGGTGTTCTTTTTGGCAGCATAGGTATTATGGAGAGTCGATGCCTTACGGAAGTAGGGAGGAAGCATACAAAAATGCAAGTACACTAGCACAGTTAACAGCTGAGCAGGCTCTTGCTGATTTCGCTGTATTAATCACCGAGTTGAAAATAAATCTGTCTGCCCAGGCTTGTCCTGTGGTTCTGTTTGGTGGATCATATGGGGGAAGTAAGATATTTCTAATTAGTTGTTGTGTTGTTGTATGATTCCAAATTTCTTATTTCGAACTTTGTGCAAATATTGGAGCAGTGTTGGCGGCTTGGATGCGGCTGAAATATCCTCACATTGCCATTGGGGCGCTTGCTTCGTCAGCACCTGTTCTACAATTTGAGGATATTGTGCCTCATGAGACGTTCTACAATATTGTTTCTGACGATTTTAGAGTATGTCTCACATAATTTCCTTTTTTTTTTTAATTTATACGAATTACTATTTAGCGTTTATGATACTTGCAGTAATTTATGCATTTTTTTTTACCATGCAATTTGATTTACTTGGGCAGCGTGAGGGGAGTCTGAACTGCTTTACTACTATAAAGGATTCTTGGGATGTAATAGAATCTGAGGGTCGGAAAAATGATGGACTTTCATATCTAACTGAAACCTTTGGTTTTTGCAAGTAAGTTTGAAATGGGAATAAATGTTCAGAAGCGTGATTGGATATGAGATTTGTTGCTATGGTTGATGCAATAATTGTTTTGTAACACAGTAATTTTGTTGATTTGAAAATTGAGAGAGTGATTGGTTTGTTTAGTGAAATCGTTGTGTAATGATAATAACTGATGACGATGGTTTATTAGTCACAGTATTATATACTGATTATGATTAAAAACAAAATTGAAGAAAATTCTGCAAATAAAAAGCAAAAAGTATTATTATAAGTATTCAAAGTTTGCTTTTGTGGTTCTTTCTTCTTTTTGTAATAGTTTCAACTCAGCAGCTGTTTGTTAAAGCAATCCACTCTTGATTGTGAAAGTTTATTTGACAGGAAACTCGAGAGTGTTGATGATCTCTTTAACTGGTTGTCTTCAGCTTATAGTTATTTGGCAATGGGAGATTACCCTTACCCTGCTGACTTTCTAATGCCAATGCCTGGAAACCCGATAAAGGAGGTTTTGTTGTTTAGCTGCAAATTATGAGTTTAAATTGTATCCAATTACTTGTGTGATGTTCTTTACTACGAGTTTTTATTGTACGAGAAGGAATTTCCTTACTTGGTTGCTCATTATCTAAACTTCAGTCTTCCAACTAGTGTTTGCAATAATCTCCTAGACAGAAAGAGAAAACCTGGAACATTTTTAACGGATAAATTTATTTAGGTAGAGAAAATAAACATTTTCTGATTACGGTACCGTAACAAAAAAACTTCTTTTATTTACCCAAACTGAGAAAATGCAGAAACACTTTCCTACAATTACAAAAACCCCATCCCAACTTTCAAATTTTAAATAAAAATGAAGCAGAAAGCAAGATTTTGTAAGGGCAATAAACTATTTTATTCTAGCTAAATGTAGAGTCACTTTTGTTTTTTTGTTTTTTTTTTTTCTCTTTTCTTATACTCTTGTAGAGTACTTGATTTTATGCTTATGAAGTCTAGTCATCTCTGCTAGGTTTGTAAGAAGATTGACAACAGTCCTTATGGGACAAGCATCTTACAGCGCATATTTCAAGGAGTTAGTATTTATTACAATTACACTGGAACAGTTGAATGTTTTGATCTGGAGGATGATCCTCATGGTATGAGTGGGTGGAATTGGCAGGTCTAATATTTTTACAATTTGGTTTACTTGGGGCCCTCTTTCTTGGTTTATATTGTACAACTACACGAATGCCCCTATGAGTTAGCCAATTATTTATCCGTTTTTTCTTTGCCAGGCATGCACTGAGATGGTCATGCCAATGTCCAGCAGTAAAGAATATAGCATGTTTCCGGCATATGATTATAATTATACTTCCGATGAAAAGTGGTGTTTGGAGAATTATAATGTCAAGCCCAGGCCTACATGGATAAGTACGGAATTTGGCGGACATGTATGGAACCTCACTTTATTTGTTATTAGTGACACTGTGTTCTTGTAGTTTTGTTTCTTGTGCCTTTTCTTTTAATTGTCTTTTTAACAGAGAGGAGCTTTTTTTTTTTTTCCGTTTTTTTAAAGGTCGTTCCGCACTTACCCCCTTGGGTGACTCGAACTCGAAACCTATTAGTCCCAAGTGAAGGGTGCTACCAACTGAGCTAGCTCTTCTCGTCTTTAACAGAGAGGAGCTTATAAATTCATGGCTTGGTAGAACTCTAAACTAGTATTTCTAAAAAAATGGTTTCAATTTGAACCAATCTGAAAATTCTGTTTGCAAGCTATGACGAAATGGCGATTCCGGCTAGAATTTGGTAAAGGAAATCTCATTATTTATGTTTGTACTCGCCAATTTCTGCCTCTAATTGTACTTCAGCAAACTAGAATTGAAAACCATTTGTTGTTTGGTGTTTGGATTGTTTATCTGTTTCTAGCCGACTTTTAGGGAGTGTTTGCAATACTAAAAGAAAAAAAGTGAAGCCCAGTTTCTACCTTAGTAGGCCAAAGGTTCCTTGATTTCTTCTTTTTAAGCCAGTATAAGGATTATAGGGCGTTGCTTGTTGGTGTATTGACCCCCTTTTTTATTGTCTTTTTACATTTTAAAGGGATTTAAGGATGCCCTGAAAGAATTCGGAAGTAATATCATATTCTCAAATGGGTTATTGGACCCATGGAGTGGCGGCAGGTAAGATCATAAACATTTTATATGTTTTACATTTAAATAATGGCATGAACTACTGTTCTCGTAATTGACAAGATTGAATGATGTTTGGTGCAGTGTGTTGGAGGATATATCGGAAACTATCGTGTCTCTTGTGACAGAAAAAGGTAAACTATGATTGACTCATAAATTCTCATTTTCATTTAGTAAAGTATATCCTGGAATCTTAATTGCTTCATAAACTCCTTTTCAGTTGCTGCTGGGAGTTTTCACCGCAATATAATTAAAAAGGATTTAAGTACTAGTTTTTGTTCTATACGTGTTTGTTATGCAAATGTTTGGAATGAAACTTTTAAGGTGCCTTCCTTCGTCATTTTCTTGGACATATGCATTTTATAAACAAGTGTACCTTCTCAGGGAGTAAATCGATGACATAGATACAAACATCAATACAGGATTTGGAATATGAAAGATAGTTGGGACTTTCCGTAACTAGACCAAATCTGTCTCTTTCTCATGCTAATTTATGCGCAATGTTACAATTTTCTGTGTGTCTTCTAGCTAGGGTCCGCAGTTCAGCTGACTCATCAGTTTGGTGTTCTACAATCTACACTCGTAACAGAACGATTAATCTGATTTATATTTTTAGGTGCCCATCATTTAGATCTACGCTCGTCAACGCCAGACGACCCTGATTGGCTGATTGAGCAGAGAGCCACTGAAATCAAGTTGATTCAAGACTGGTTAGATCAATACTTTGACAGAAGGAGAAGTGTTTTTTACACTTGAAAAGCGCTTATGGACAACGTACTTTGTTTCCTCTAAAGAAGAAAAATTATTTTATGTTTCATGAGATGTGTGAAAGACATGCACGTATGCAGTTGTGACCATCATTTGTTGTAAATGTGGAGCTAATGTTTTATATTTGTGTAATATTATGAAATATGGAATTGAAAAAAACAAAAAAATGTTGATTGTCCTTAGTGGAAAACTCACACAATGAGCCTTGGATGCTTCTTCTGCAGCAGAGGTGGAAGGTGCCTTTAATTTTATTTTATTTTATTTTCAGTTTGAATGAGATAAATCTTGGTCGGACAAATAAATCATATATATATATATCATAAATTTTATTCGGTGCAGTTCGATTAAAACCGAAATCAACCATAAAATTGAACTGCACCGAACTTTTGCAGTTCTATAAAATACAATCATAATCGCACCACAAACTGTAGTTTTAAAAATCGAACTGCACTACACCGAATACATCAATTCGACTCGATTTTTCGATTTCGGCTCAATTTTAAAGTAAAGAAGGTGTGGAGTTCGGGGGCATATTTTGCTTTTTTTTGCCTTTTGAACTCAATTGCTATTCACCGCCTCTCCCCCCTTTTACTCTTTTGCCCTTTATTCTTGGGGCGGTAAAAGCCGTCCGGTTCCCGCGACCGGACACAAAATTTTTCGTACCTCCGAATTTGACGACATTTCACCGTGTACTTTCCTCTGAGATGTTTAGAAAAAATAAAAAGGACAAAATCGTCCAAGAAGCGGTAGTAAAATGGGGCTGTAAATAGTACCACCATTATTATTTGCTTATACGGAAAATTGGTTTTAATTTAAATGAAATAAAACCAAATCGCGTTTGATCTGAAGTTCTGAACACTCGACGAATTTCCACCATGACTCAAGCTCCAAAGTCCAAACCCTAAAAAACCCCTAAATTCAATGGCGTCTCCAACTCTGCGGAAACTACTGAGAAACCATACTACTGCCTCAAGAATTCCCACATTTCTCCGCCAAACCTATGATGTATTGACCCAAATCCCCAAACCTAATCAGACGACGACATTTTCGAACCCACCCGAAACGAAATGTCTGGAACCAAATCATTCATTTGGCCCTGTCGTTTACCCTAGTTTCCCGTTCGGCTATTTTCTCTGCCCGCTTTCCCAGACCCCATTGAGAAATCCTGAGATGGACGACGAAATGGCTACGGACAATTCCAATATCATCATACGAGCTGATAGTGTGAAGAAGAAGAGGAAAAAGAAGATGAACAAGCATAAGTTGAGGAAGCTAAGAAGGCGTCTCAGGAAGAAGTCATAATTCAGATTATTTTGCCATTTGGGTGAGAGATAATGTTGTTTCAATTTCTACTTTTTTAAGAAAAAAAAAAAAAAAATCTTTTCTGAAGGGGTTTAGGGTTTTTTTACTCTGTTTTTTCTGAAATTCGTCACTCGATCCACCAAAGGTGTTTTTATTCGGTGCTGGCGTATAACATCATTAATTTATAATTGTTATATTGGTATGGTGGAGTACATTGGCCATTGCTGTGAGAGTGGATGAGCCGTTTCTTGGGATAGTGTACTATGTCGTTTTGTTATGTTTGCGCATATTGGTTGGGCAATTGTAGTTTAAAGTCCTGAGTTATGGATTTAGTTGGATGACTTTGAAATATATCGTAATTGTGCTTAGTTATTGTTAATTATTAGTTTTAACAGTTTAGTGGTGATTTGCATGGGGGACTAACATGAAGTTCAGTAAATATAAGGTGTAGTAAGTGGGAGGTTTTTGGGAAACAAGGCTCGCACTGCAGTTAAGACTAACAAACAATTATTACTGATTATGTATATAATTTTCACCAGACTTATTGTGGATTGAAGATCACTAGGTCTCCTATAGGTGTAGCACCTTCAGGACTTGGTGTGAGCTATCTCGATTCGTAAATATGTTTTATGTTGTGTTGGTGTTCATTCTACTAACGGAGAGTATACTATTCAAATAACTAAAAATGTGGTTACTGTTATCTTTTTGGCTAAAAGAAAAGGTGGTTTTGGATATGAACTTTTACTTCTAAATTTTTTCAATTTTCATAGTTTGAGGGTTCTTTCAATTTCTGATTATTTCCTTTGGTTTGGTTTGAGTGAGCACTTTTACAGTTTGTACCAAGTGCTCTGTTCTAACTAGTTCAATTCTTAGTTCTACTTGCAAATACTACCAGTTTCTTATTCTGGGACTTGTATTTTCCTGCTATGAAATAGTTCTCCAAAATGGATAAGGCTCTGCAAGCCCTTCGAGTACCCAGTGACGAAAGGAATTTCATGTTTCTTCATAATCTAATCATATTCATGCAAAATTATTGGATATGAATATTTTATCCTGTTCAGGTAAATCTGTTTGTGGCTAAACGTTCACTTGTTATGGATTGTCTTTTAAAAAAAAAAATTGGCCCCTTACCTGGTAATGCATTCCTATCCAACCACATTGAAAATGAAGGGCTCACGATGGTGGATTCTGAAGCCATTCATTTCTCAAAAATCTGCATTGCTTTCTTCTGATCAGATAGGTTCTCTTGGATTTTTAATAAAATTTTTCTGGTGAAATTGCTTGTGTAGTTGCTGCATGCTTGCAATCTATCATACCCATATCTCTTACCATGTTCATATGAATCATAGGGGTCTTATAATGAGGGCCACAACTTTCTGGCCCTCAATGTATATGCTCTAAAGCTTTTGTCATTGCTACTTTAGTATTAGAGCCTCCATAAATTGCTTTGGTTTTTCGAGAGCCTGTCCAATTCTGATCCACATTTGGCTTACAAAGAAGGCATTCTTACCTGCTTTGACCACTTTTGCTAGAACAATCATCTTGGTCTCATAAGTGAACAACCTTGGCAATATCTTTCTGATTGATTATCCATTTTATTAGTTTACACATTGTTCTTTATTCTTCTTCTGTACTTTATGTTCTATGTGTTGGTAATTTCATCGTAGGACTTGCGAAATTCAATTTTATGAAGACTTAATGCACCTATGTTAGTTCAACAATATCTTGATTTTCATCAATGTCATCATGCAATCCAACTTCAATACACAGCCTCGAGTAATATATCCGTTCTTTGTTCTTTTTGTTAGTGGCCTCAAGCATGTTACTTAACGGAAGTTGTCCAAGTTATCATCGTTGGCATACAAGATGTTGATACCATCATCCCACAATTCTAGAAGAGTACAAACTTTTTCACACATCACTAGTACTGTTGGATAGTGGTATCAACTAATCTTAAATGTTGATGACTCAACTGCAACTTTGTCATTACATTATTTTGCATTCCTCTACTCGACGTTAAGTAAGAATTCAAAAGATAACTAAGTATGTATAAATGTTATGTTGTTTGTGCTATAGCAGGCGAAATTTAGAATTGAAAGCATAATACATAATAAAGAATATTGACGTGACATCACAATTCTTTTTTGTTGTTAATGTTTTTGAGTAAATGTTTGAACTTTAGAAGATGAACTCAAAATATTAACTTCATTTAGGACAATGATATCAGATCAATATTCTCCATTACATATTATGCTTTCAATGCTAGATTACGCCTGCAATAACACAAACAACAGAATGCTTATACAGACTTAGTTATCTTTTGAATACTTACTCAATGTCGAGAAAATGGATGCAAAATAATGTTATGGTAAACTTGCAGTTGAGTCATCAACATTTGACATTAGTTTGATATCATTATCCAACAGTACCAGTGATGCGTGAAAAGGTATGTACCCTACTGGAACTGTGGGATAATAGTATCAATATCTTGTACACCAAAGATGATAACTTGGACATCATATATTAAGTAACATGTTTGATGTTACTAACAAAAAGAACGGATATATTACTCGAGACTGTGTATTGGAGTCGGATTGCATGATGACGTTGATGAAACTCAAGATACTGTTGAATTAACATATGTGGAGTACAACTTTGTTAACAAATATGGACTTGAGCTTAATTGACATTTAATAAGTATCCTTTCGTATATCATATGTCAATTAAGGTGCCTACGTACCCTTATATTAGGAATCAAAGTCCACGTAATTCTTTTAAGTTTGAATATTAGGCAATCGTTTTCGAAGGTCGTGATTCATTGTGAATTTCCGTTCTAAGAAATTGAAAAAGTTTACCAATTACAGTTGAAAGCAATAACATCAATTACACCGATTATGCCACGCACACATTCTCCCATTGTGGATGTTGTTTCTGACTCTCTCATACGCTTACAATACAACAATATAGAGATAGTATACACGGACAAACTTCAACAAACTTCAAGTATTGAAGAATTTGTATGTTGGCCTGTGTCATAGAACTCTAACTGTTATATTGTAGACGTATACGAGAGTCAGAAGTAGGATCCACAATGGGAGAATGTGGGCTTGGCATAATCGGTATAATTGATGTTATTGTTTAAATTTGTGAAGGATGTTTTATAACGGAAACAATTGTCGTTAGCGTCGGTTACGGGGTTCTTAAATGTTCAACAATCATCCAACACTACAAGAAAGCTACAGTCTTTTTGTAACGCCCCACTTTGATTTTAAAGAAATTTCAGACTTTCAGAAAAATCAGAATAAATTTTTCAAAATTTAATTCAAACATATTTAAGGCGTTACTCATTTATTTCAAAGTCAATCGTTAAACTCAATCATCAATAATATTTCCAACTCCCAAAACGGGTTTTCCAAAAATTTATAAATCACCCAAATCGGGTTCCAACAATATTTATAGGATCTAAGGAGCATCTCCTTAACATTATTCAAATCATAAAATCCGAAAACCATTATTTCAATAATGTTCCAAGCTCATAAATCATAAAATCAGTTCACGATGCGGAAGCATAACAAATAAATAAACCGGCCTCATAGACCGACCACCACTCGCTCTACTCCGACGTCGTACCTGCCTCGCTTAACCTGAAACGTTAATTTCAGGTGGGGATGAGCACAGTTGAAAAAAGTAGTGCTCAACACTATGCAGTAAACCATATTCAAATTATAAAAACAGATGATCGCAGCATGTATAAGAATCAATTTATTATCCCAATCTCCTGTCATAATATTGTCATAAGATCGTCATAAAATCAAGATTCGTGTGCACACCTACGCATAGACTACTGCGGGGTAAAATACCGAATGCCCCTCGGGCTTCTATCGGTGCCCAAGCCAGTAGGAGTAAATCCTCAAAGGAGATTACCCAACGGGTACGTTCTATAACTACGGGGACAACCGTTCAGACGGCCGCTACAGCT